TGTAAAAATTTTATACTTAAAATTGAAAAACAATGATTTTTATTTTAAATACTTTGTTGAAAAACAATATTATTATTTATGTTTATTGACACCCGTCACTTATAGAATTTGCTCATATTATATTACAATTTTTTTACCTTATTTCACAAAACTAAATTGTGGTTAAATTAATTTAAATATTTTTAGTTTTTTAAATTAATATTAATAGATCATTTTTTTTTGTTATAAAAGATAAATATAATAATTTATTTTTTTGTATGTACAATGTAGATGTCAAATTGATTTTATATGTTATATATACAAAATTAATAACAAATTAAAAATTATTGATTTTTAAAATATATTTATAATTTAAGTTTGTTTTTATAATTTTAAAAGAAATAGTGTGAAAAAAGAGAAAGATTGGAGAAAAAATGTATACCTTATAAACAACTTCTAGAATTGGATAAAGCATAATTAATTCTCGTAATATTGATCATAAGTATCAATATGATTATTCCAAACCTAGTTATTTCGGAAACATTTTTTTTTTTTTTTGTCGAACATAGAGAGTTTTATAAACAGAACATATAATTACAATTTTGAATAACCTATACAACAGAAATCAGAGATATGCATACAAATGAGACCATTACAGTCTATAACCCACTACACTAGACGCATCCACAAGAAAATTACATTTTCTTTTTCATTATTTAATAAACTTTTTTGAATTACTTTTCAAGTAAGCCAACTGAATTTTTTATTTCAATTGACTTATCAACTCATTTTACCAAAATTTTTTATTATATCAACTAGTTTTTCTAACACGATGCTTCCACGGTTTGCATAATCAAACAATCTAATTTGTGATGGGCCATATTTTAAAAAATGAAAAACATCACGTAATTTTACTAATCAATCCAAAACGCCGTCATATAATTTTTTAATAGTTTGAACCATTAAAACCACACATATGGTAACCCACATATTTACAACTTATTTACACCATGGAAACACACACAAACACAGCCCAGCTCATCTCCCCTGCTCACTACAAAGAGAAGTAGACAAGTAATGAGGTAACTAGCAACCAACCTTGGGACTACGACTAACTTTTAGCTTTCACAAGTTCCTCTGGTTCGGCTCGAGCCACGGGAAGCCAAGGAAGTCAAACACCTCCTTCTCAGATCCAAACTTCAAACTTGCACTGCCTTTGCTTCCCTAAAATCAGAGGTTGTAAAAATAATGTGATTAACAAGCGGTGCTAGACATCAATTAGACAATTACAATCCGCGGGCCACAACAATATCATACCCGTTTGCCACCTGAACCAAGGGTGGCAGGGAAAAGACCCGTGTCGTCAAGTCTGAATCCCTTCGACTCTGCTAATAATCTAAGCCTGGGGAAAAAAACACAGGACAATTCAGAACTACGAAGAGAGAGAGAGAGAGAGATGAAGTAAATAGATGTCATCAACATAATTTGTTGGCAACAAGAAAATCATTTATTTTCATGCGACATTTTTCAACAGTATGAGTTTCTGTCAAATCATTCTCATAACTGGTGGCGACGTATTTTGAACTTCCCCTCGCGAAATTTCAACTGAAATTATGTACAAGGTAATTACAGGGTCAAGATTGGACTGCAACCGTAACTTACGCATACTTTCTCCAAACGATATTGCTTCACACTTCTGCCAGATAGGTTGATATCAAGTTTAAAGTTATAGATTGGTTGTAAAGCATTTTACATTTGATTCTGTTAACAATCAACTTCTGGTTCACGCCAAAATCCGGGTATAGAAAAGGCTCACCTTCTGTTAAGAACATCGTTCCCTGTCCATGCTATCAATCCAAAAGCATAAATATCCCTTGGATAAACCTATACAAGCAATAGTGTAGATTAAGGCATGTGGATGTGGCCACTTCGTGACTACTAGTTGTCTCTAGATATGCAACGTAAGTGCAGCTATATATATGCAGCATCTCAAACGCACTGCTCTAACTCATTTTGATTACCTTAAAATCCAAAAAAGCATTTTTATGATGTTTAACAACATATGCATATCTGAACTTAACAACCTCGTGATAGAGAAGAATGAGTCACAGGCAATCTATGGACAAACTATGACAGACTGACCATCCTAAAGATATACACTGCATGGTAACGAGGAATTATAACAAATAACCGAAACTAAATAACAAATAAAAACTCATTCACCCTGTGACTTCTCTCGTCCTTCAGTCTTTTACATAAGTCCCACATAATATGGTTAATCTACGTAGGATTGCGGATAAAGAACAGCACAAGTATCTTTACATAAGTCCCACATAATATGGTTAATCTACGTAGGATTGCGGATAAAGAACAGGACAAGTATCACACCTTGAAATCGATGCGATGCCGTAACTCTCGACCCGGATAAGTGCAAAGACCAAAATACGTATCCACTCCAGAGTCAGTACCCTACACACAAAAGCAAAGACACATTAAGCAATAAAAGGCACCCTGTAAATAAGAAGTACGTTAGTGCACTGCAAAGATAGTCACAAAGCTGCTTACGAGAACCTCATATAAAAAAGACAACTTACATCTATTACTTGAACATATATCTAAGTAATATCTTGACTATAATCAGTTCCAATTATCTTTGTATGTCATGTTCATTTAGTCTGTTCTGATAGCACATGTTCACTTTCTTTTAGTCCTTACAACGTTCAACATTCCTTGTTGTACAAGCACCCGAGGTCCCCACGTACAATTTGGAGCAGGTATACAACTCCACAATTCACACAAGAAATTCTATTTAAGAAAAGAGGAATACATACTCTATAAAGTATAAAAACAATAATAACAATCATTCAAACTTTTAGCGTTCTAAAACTCATAAAACAACTGCAACAATGTTTGAGATTTGGATTTGATGTTGGAACAATGACATACGGGCTCCACCTGCTTGTACAACATCCTGAGCTCACAACAAAAATTGCAAGGCAAATAGTACGCCAGATGATGCTTTACAGAATAAAATAAACATATTTCGGGTTCCTATACCATTGAAATTGATTCAAACAATTTTAAACATTCAGGAAACATGAAGACATCATAAATCGTATGACACGTGGTTCAAAGATTTTATTCTATCGCAACATAGAGCAAAGAACTCAAGGCATCTTCCATTGTAAAGGAGAAATGGAACAACGTTTGGTTTTATTATGTAAATAACCAGACTTCAAAACTACAAAATATGCAAGACAGAAAAATGATCACCTCCTCGCTGTGTACACTAAAGACCAGATCCTCTCTCAAGAAGCCCATATGTTTGAGACCCTTCACCAACTTTGGAAGAAATCCAATATGGCTGGATGGAATAAAGAAGGTCAGTTTCAGTAAACAAATCAGAAATTTACATGTGTATGTGTGTAAATGTAATATATATATATATATAGGGTTCGCTCCGGTGAGAATGGTTCTCACTGAAATAAATAAGAATACATCCTACTGATAATCCAACAGCAAAAAATGAGCACTAGTAAAGGGTGTAATAGACATTTTTCCTTCCTATTCGTGAACCCCACCACCCCCTAATCGCTCATCATACAGCAAGCGGGCCCCATACCCTTCCACCCTTCTATCTCTCTCCCCAAACCCTAATCCATCCCATCGGCTGCCACCACCACCATGGCCGCCCCCACCCTCAGGCTCACGAGCGCCATCGCCAGAGAGAACAAGCGGAACAGTGGCAGCACACACAGCGCCACGTCCCATGCACCGTCGACGTGGAAGTTGGGGTTCTCGCCGCCCCCTTTATGCGCGACGCACGCAGCCAAGTTCCAATGGCGAAGCATCATCATCGCCGCCGCCTCCGTCTCTCCATTCATTGGACTGACAAGACGAAATCGGGTTGGGGACGACAGATAGGGAATCGGAAGGGAATGGAAGGATTTGGGTTTAGGCTAGGGACTTCAATTTGAAAATTAAATAAGTCGTGGGGACTTAATTGCAATCTTTAGATATTTTAATATATTGCAATTAAGGTATTGGGTAAATTTGCAATTTTTTAAGAGTTTGATAAATGCACAATAATATTAAGTGAAATGCACATTAAAACGTGTGGATATGCACATTACAACGTGTGGATGTGCACATTAAAACAACCATCGTACTCTTACGAAATTACAGAATTACCACCGCCTACACATATAGTTCACAAAATTTATCAAAATGTCACCGCGCAACAGAATGCACAATAGACTAAGTGCATATTAATGACTGCCACAATGCACATTAGCTTAACATAACAGTGTAGTCTGCGCAATGACTAAGATACACCGCGTGAAAAATCCAAAATCCACATAATTACAACAACACCGCCCCTTTGATCGGACCCTTTGACCGTGCCTGAGCGTTGATATATCACATCTGATCGCTACGATCCATTCGTCACTTTCACTATGACTGGATTCTCACTTGGTCCTAACTATGTGTGTGTGTGTGTGTGTGTAGAGATCCATATAACATGCATAAACCATAAATAAACAATGATACAGAAAATGATGTGCTCAGTAACAGATTACTGGTAAACAAATTTTCTGATATGGGGCTTGCTCTATCACTAACACAATGAACTTTAGAAAGTGGTATCATCAAAACAATCAATGTTGGTCAAAGATAGAATGCTATTTTGTTGTTAAAAAGAAATTGAGAATCTCATAAGGTTACAATTGAATACCATACCTTGTGGCATCAGGGTGCGTAATCACAATGTCCATGTCCCCGCAAGAAGCCTTTCCACGTCTGTATGATCCTCCACAAACGATTACTACCTGACGCAATATCGCCAGGAAAATAAATGGGAGAGTGTTAAATATAGTGGGGCATGTGTATGTGTGTTTGTGCACACATTGGATTCTACCTGGTTTATAAAACATCATAGTATAAACGTTCAATCCAAACTTGACAATTGGGAGTTTTGATTTTGTAATCCTTCTGGATCTCAACAACGTAGGAAGCATAAATTGTTCCACAAAAATTATGACAAGATTGAATTTAGAAGTTGATGATTTCAAGTTTAGCTAGAATATAAGTGCACATCAAGCAGATATTCATCTGCTCTCATTAATCACCCAGATGGTTAAAATGATGCTAAAGTAAATCTCAATCTGCCTACCGCACCAAGAAATTCCAGTTAGTAGACATAACTGCATGGACAACACAACTCTGGGCCACCAAAAAGATTGTCACTTTAAGCCCTATAGCTGCAAAGTTATTATGCTGGATGCACACTATAACCAAACCTTGCAGATATTCATCTATGTCAAATTGAATTGCCTCATAATAAAGCAATCCATAAGATTTATTTTGACTGAATTCGACAATGAGCTGCAAGTTAGGATTTAATGTACAGTTTATTTTTTCCAAATTCAAAACAGCAGCAGTGATTCTCACCCCAGGCAAAATCTCTTCTCCAACTTTCTGTATAAGACTTTCCATTTCTTGGACCTGTACAAAGTTTTGAAGCTTTAACAAAGTGGGCCATTAATTCTTTTATACATCTTTCGTGAACATAATACAGAAACCAATTTAAAAGCAGAAAGGCAGACCTCATGGCGGGGAATTCTCGTCCTGATGTCATCAAAGTATTTTAAGCCCAACTTCTGAGAATTTGTTAATGATTCCTCATTTTTCAAATCATCAAGGGTCCTGTATCCTTTCTCATAAAGTTTCACTGCTGTGGCAGGTCCAATACCCCATACTTCTCCAAACAAATTGATTGTGCGTACCTAAAAAATGTCAGAATATTCAGTTTATACCGATCTGTTTGATGATATAAGCAGAATCCTTCATCCTATGTAGACTGTATCATAGGGAATGGGATTCCCTGTTTGACTTTTCTCTTCACTTCATGTTTCATTCCATTCGATGAATGGCACATGTACACGATAATATCACATTTGTACACGAGTCACCGATCCAATACAGTGAAACATGAAGTGGAACATAAAAATGGAATAGAAAATTTGAACCCATCATACAGGGGTAACAATGTATATCTCGAGTACTAAGGTAATGTTAGTCCCTGCTCGTTCACTGCTCAGGTAAGCAAAAAATGCTTCCGGTACAAACGAACACTTTTAGGATGAAAGAAGAAGATTGTGAACAACTCAATGTATTGAGTATTAAGCTTTTCTGTGTGTTGTGTTGGTTTACAAATGAAAAACTACATCCCTATTTATAGGAACTAAAAACTACTATTCAACACTTTGCTAGAAATTACTAAAGCTGAAAATTCAGCCTAAAGGGGCTGCTATGAAGGTCCTTTGCAGCTGCAAGGAAGCTACAAAGAAAATGCAATGAAAGTGTAATGAAAGTGCAAGGAAGTTGCACTTCACTAACAAGGAAACTGTAGGATTATATCTTACAGGTAATAGTGTTGAGGCAATATTCATTCATGAAGCTTCACATAAAAGATCATTATCCCTATTAATTTCAATATCCTCCACTATGTAAACATCAAGAAATATCGAGTCTTATAGAAGGTTAAATGTTGAGTATCCTCATAGACACAACAGTATGAAGAATGAAGAAAGAAATACAGATAGAACTGGAACGTTAGAAGCATAGAGATGGAATTCATAAGCAATGATAATCGTAAGACATGCAGATAGATAAGGAGAATACTGTCATACAATTATGAAATATTGTAGTCCTTTCAGTCTTCTCTAGACTTAGAGTGATTGGCATGTCCAAATGAAAGTTGAATATAACATAAAGTTCTTTAGTCTTCACATGAAGAAAAAATGATGAATGGTATATATCATTAAAAGACAATTTCTAAATCAGATACGCCACTAATAACAAAAAAGAGCTTAGGGTTTCAGCAACATAAACAACACCTTTTCGTCCTTCTCAAAGTGCTCCAACTTGGAAAGCTTCCCAGTGTTTACAATTTCCTGAATCTGTAATTACAGCTTTGAATATTACCAAAGAAGGGCATATACAAGAATTAAACCCAGAATTTTTTCCTCTAAAAGGATCAGAGATAAATATGGCTAATTGATCTGGCAATAAACTAAAAGCAGTATAAGCTGATAAAGTACTTGCTTACATGGTCTTGCAATGACTTTCCAATACCAGGTAGATCTTTCACTTGGTCAGCACTTTCAATTTTAAAAGGCAGTTTTTCGATAACTGGGATAGCCTTATAATAGCTAAAAGACCTGCGGTCATCACCCAGGGCTGTCATTAGGTTACAAGAAAAGTCAGTTTTGCCTACACAATTTCTGCATGTAATAATAATTTAAGAAAAAAGTGAATAACAAAAAGAAGAGACAAGAGAAGATAATCCTGGATGATAACCTCTGTATATATTGATAAGCTTTCCAAATATCTCAGTTATATTCCTGTTCAGATCTGGAGGGCTGTACAACAATGATGCTTCAGATGATGAGTCCTGTTAGGCAATGCATACAAGTAGTTATTACACAAAAATCTAAAATATTACACACTACAGACGAATGAAACCTCATATTCTTGCAACGAGATTAAAATGATTTCATCCAGGATAACCAAAGACTTGAAAGCATTCAACATAATATTTTATACTTAGGAGAAAATGGAATGAACTTACAGCTGTATTTAAACCGTCCGAGCTTGGACTTGTGACATCTGGGCCTAAAGAGCTAGGCGAGCGAGATGACCCACTGGCATTGACTGATCCGTTGTCTTCTCGTTCTAATCCAGTTTTGGAGGCCTCTGGAGAGGGTTTAATCTTCTTTTGCGGATGTGGATCTTCTGTACTCAAATGATTTGGATTTATATGTCCCGGATGATTCTTCTCCTCAGTGACTTCGCTTTTATTAATTCCTCGGGTGTCGGATGATATTATGTAAAGGTCTTCGGATGCTTTCTCTCCTATTCTCAGGCTGTCCTCCAGCCATTGATAGTTGAGAACTTTCTGCCACGAGTTCATGTGAAATCAACTTCCAAAATTGGAAATAATTTCGAAACAGTATACTATATAATTCTTTGGTTAGCTAAACTGGCATTTTTTGAATATTCAGATACAACACTTCAAAGTAGCTATTGATCTTTCATCAGTTACAAGGTGATAACAATATATAGAGAAAGTGAGTACCAATGATATAACCATCTATGCACACGATACACCCCTAAAAATTGCTCTTGTTCAGAAAAAAAAGGGCAACCCGAATCACTTCAAATAGTTAGACAACCTTAACTAAGAAAACCATCTATACTCGCCAACGGCATAAAGGTATGATCTTGCCAAATTTCAGCCTAATGAACCACCAGTACATGTATCAATCAGGTACATGCAACATCATCGTCAATCTTACACAAAAAGATGCCCAAAATATGGTGGAATGCCCTAACTATTACTTAACAGTTTATACCACACCACTATACTCAAAATTACTACACTTTAAACTAGCACAAATCAATGTATAGACAATACTACCCAAATAATTACACTGGATATACACGAATTAGAAAAGAAACCAAAAAAAAAAAGGTTCAGCAATAACAACAAATTACTCCTTTGAAGCCTTTTAAGCTTTTGCCTTCCATCTTTTGCCAAAGCGAGTTGGAGTCCGCCGCAAAAATGTGGTTAACTCTCTTGGAAAAAGCTTCCTCGATTTGCGCCCCCATTTGCACCAATTTTTGCTTCCAGATCTAGAATTAACAACGAACAAGGCTGAGAATTGATTTCAGGACTTAGTTAAGTACAGCTATTTGAAAGTAAAAGTTACGGGCATGAAAAAACCTGTAGTCGACGAGCTTGAATGGCGGTTTCGATTAAGAAGACGACCATACCGGAGAACATCCCGTCGGGGTCGGACGGTGGAGATTTTTTCCTAGCCTTTGGCGCCATTTTTTTGGGGTTTACCTTTCTCGCAATGGAGTTCGGTGCTAGAGAATCTGAGAATGTGTAGTTCAGCTTCTGTTACACGTTATGTACGGAGGGTTAGAAAAGTGAAACCACCACAAAATGGATACTATTTGTACGATGTAGAACCCGGAACGGTGACCTGAAATTCGGATCACCCGGTTAAGCATCCGGTCCGGTGAGTCTAAGTTTATAAAATTTTAATATTAAAAAAAGTTATTTATATGCAAATTTTATACCGAAAGTCTTAATATTATTGTATTTTGTTATAAATATTTCCATATATATATATACACATAATAATTTTATTGTTAAAAATAAGGTAAAAAAAGAAAAAAAATATATGATGGTCTGGTCAAACTGAGTTAACCGACTGGTCAATGACGGGTTGACCTAATTTTGATCGAGTCTCTTGCTACCCAGTTTGAGCGATTCACTCAGGCCAGTTCATGTTTCAAAACTATGCTTTGTAGGTGATTTTTTTTTAATTTTACTTTGTTTGAGTTATCTACTAAGTTTTACAACTACTCTGTAGGGTTTTTTTTTTCTATTTTGATTGACTAATCGACTTGTTGGTAAACAATGAATATATGTTACCCCATCTCATAAGTCCCTTCCATAAGACCCCACCGTTTGTTAACCAAATTAGGAAGAGAATAGGAAGAAAACAATGTTGATTTTTTTCGAGTTTTATTGTTGCTTCCCAAAAAAATCATACAGTAAATATTTTACTCACTCGACGAGCAGTTGTGAGGTAGGACATTCACCGCAGACGATGATAGGAATACCACATGTGGACGTGAAAGTTGATGCATAAAATCGTAATCATTGTGAAGTTAGTTGATCAATCTCCTTTTTCCAGTAGACGAATCTAATAAATTCGTAAGTAAAATATACCAGAGATGGAAAATAACATTTTAACCATTTGCGCAATATATCATTTACAAGGGCACGATACCGTCAAGACCACTTAAATATAAATTTTTAAATCCCACATAACAATCACACAAGGAATAGTGACAAGTTGAACATTAGGATAATAAACACCAAAAGGGGATTCAACAAAATTTCAAATGTTTTTAAAAAGTCCAAGAGATTTGGATCTAACCCAATCATCTTTACTCAAATTGTACGATGCCTTTACACTCGATTTTGAAAAAAGACAGATAAAACAATCATTCTTTGATTTTTATAATGTTTTGTGAATTGAGTTACGATACGGGATACTATACTAGGTCGAGTATCACCTAAGAAGCGGCTCGACTCGACAGGGTGGGCCGACGGGTCTATCGAACAACAAGGACACTGGAGGTCAAAGGTCTATCATAAGGTCGATGGTGACCTCACAGAAAAAGGAGCTCACTAGCAGATTGAGATAGGGCTCTCGGTTAGAGGATGAGACGCCTCCCAAGAGGGGGGTTATACACATGATATTGACGGGATTCACTTATGGGGATTCCAACAACGCGGGAAAGCAACATGTTTGAGCTGCTAACAAAAAGAGGGAGGAAGTCGGGTTCATGGCCATTGAACCCACCATCATATTTGGGTCGAGAAATATCACATTGGTACACATTCCTCATAATGATGCGTTGATGGTCTCTGCGGAGGTCGCTGAATATGAAGTCCAAGTCCAACATATATTCATTGGTACGGGGAGTTGGTGGATGTGATATTTTATGACTTCTTCAAGATTTTATGGACTTGGAGGTGGAGCTAAAAGAGATTAGTACATTGTTGTTTGGGTTTAATGGAATTGAGGTAGTTCCCATGGGGTAGGTTACTCTGCCAATGGCTTTAGGAGAGGGTTGACCAAGAAAGTGAAGATGGGAAAGTTTTTGGTAGTTGGAGCGGAATCATCTTATAGAGTTATATTGGAAAGACAGAGCTTGAATTCATTCTAGGCGGTGGTGTCCACTTATTACATGAAGACAAAGTACCAAATGAGCTAGCTCGTAGAAAGGAAGAAGATCAACTCACTTTAAGGTCGTGGTATCAGGTGACTGTGAAAGTAGGGCAGCATGTAGCTAAAAGAGTAAGCATCTCGAATAAAGAAGGAAACAAAGATGTTGGTAGTTCTGGCAAGGAGGTAGGGAGGTCAAGGGAAGAAAAAGAAAAATGTGAAATGCAACCGGGGAAAAAGCTGATAGAGGTTCAACTGGTCATAAGCATTGAGGGCAGGAAGATAAAAATCGGGGGAAATCTAGTGGATCCGTTGAAGGGCCAATTCATTAATCTGATCAACAAATTCAAAGATGTGTTTGAGTTTACTCCATAGGAGATGACATGAATTGAGGCAACCATAATTGAACATAGATTGAACATCAACCCTAAAGTTCGACATGTAAACATAAAATGAGACATCATGGAGCTAAAATAGACAAAGTCATCGAGCAGGAGGTCGACAAGCTCTTGAAGGCGGGACATATTGAAATACAATTTTAAGAATGACATTCAAATACGATCATGGTGACGAAGAGAGAGGGTAAGTGGAGGATGTATATTGACTTCAGATATTTGAATAAAACTTGTTTGGAAGACCACTACCTTCTTCCCAAGATCGACCAGCTGGTCAAATCCACCGCGTGGTGCGAGCTCCTAATCATGACGAATATGTCACAAGGTTATCACGGATCTCGTTGGCTCAGAATGACAAAAAGAGGGTTAACTCTAATATAATTTGACATGTGTAAGCTTATAATTTGTTAGAGATAGAGATATATGTTTAATAAGATCCGAACTCATTACCCAAGAGCGCTTGGATGAGATGGCTTGGGTCTCTTCCAGGCTCCAGCTTAACCAGTGGTCTCGTGTTCGAGCCCTGGGAATGCAGCAGTGTTAAAATTCTTGAGGAAGAGCTTTGCCGCCCTTGTGGTCGTACCCGGCTCGATTCCTGATTAGTCAGTTCCCATGTGGATCCGGAAATCGGAAGGTCCCTATACCAAAAAAAAAAAAAGATCCGAACTCATTGGTTCAACCGGGCTAAACCCTTCCATAAAATATATATGAACAAAAATTAGAAAATGGCAATAATCCGAGTAAAACCCAGCTAAACCCATCATCATCCATTTCTAGGGGAGAAAATGCTTGTGCAGCGTTCAATTTCGGTGCTATATACCTGCAAATCTTCATTATATTGTTATCCCAAGAGTTTCTCACTCTTTGCACGCAACAATTCCTTAGCATCAGTGTCTACTCTGTCTTTCTCCACTCGAAAAAGCTCTGACCCTCTCGGGACCCATAAAATCCGAGCCTTTGGAACCGCCTCCGCCGCCGGGAATGGGAAGGACGCAGACACCTTCTTGGCCGAAGAAAGCGTTTCGTGGGCTTCTTTGGGCGTTTCAGATTCAATTTCAACTGCCCTCTCTAAACTTGGGCTGCATAGACCTTCTCTAGTACAGGTTCCCGTCCCTTATTGTTCTTATTATTAGTATCAGTTGGTAATTTATGTTTCTTTTTTCGTTTTTCTTTCGAATTGTTTGTTACTTGTTATGGCTATCTTCTCTTTAAATTTGTAAATATATGTTTACTTGAAATATTTGCTGTAGTTCAGAATTCATGGGACTTAAGTTTGATTTAAAACCGACTTCATTCGTTAATGGTCATACTAATAAATTACTCGATATTATATCTCTCTCGTCAATGCGATGAATGGATTGATGTTTGGGGACTAATATAAGGTTTTGATTTTCATTTAGTATGTTCTTGTCTGAAATTTGAATCTTTATTATCATTATGTGCATCTGTACAAATAAGAAAAGTGAACTCATAAGGAGGAGTAGGAACTAAGTAGGAAATAACCTTTTCAAGTGAATGTCACTGATAATGGAGTATGTTTAAATTACTCACATCTCACTTTTTCTGTTTCGTGGTTGCAAATGAAGTTTCGGTAAGGCACCGTTTGGATTGAGTGAGTTGATATCTAAAGGACTTCAAAATCCATGGACTGCAAATACCTTCAACTTCATTCACTTGCATTTCCTGTCCTGTTGTAATGTGGTTTTGCTGGAAATTTGATAATCTATAACAAAATATAACTTCATCCAGTTGTATATCCATAAAAGTATAAGATTTTTAAGTTCTAGTGATACAATGTTTTATGTCTAAAATAAAATGTGTATTTCTGTAGAGTGCGGTTGTATGTAAGACCTGCGTAGATAAGAGAGATTGAGTGGGATAAAGAAGCGTGGTGTGTAATTGTATATTAAAACAAAAGTCAAAAGGTAGGATTAGGAAGGACTCGGTTTTAGGATGTATTTAACTCCACAGCAGGCGAACTTAAATTAAGCAGGGGTATGAATTCATCAATGTGAGCTATTTATAGTCAACACGTCGTCAAGTTTCGTGAAGGATTTCTAATTTTTTTGCCCAAAGTATACAAGCCAAGTTGGGTCAAATTGAATTTAACAATGATATCCACACAAAGTTTTTATATAGCATGGTGTTCGTTCTATATTCTTTCTTAATAAATACTAAAAATACTACCTCACCAATTGAAAACTCATACATTGAAATCACTATTTAGGCTGCATGTGTACCAGCCATTCTTTCAGGGCCAGATGTGGTGGTTGCAGCCGAGACAGGAAGTGGCAAAACTCATGGGTACTTAGTCCCACTCATTCATAAACTATGTAGTCAGGTTGATGAGTCAGAAAGTGGTCTGGATGATCTGAAAGTTAATAGAAATCATTGTGTATCTCTTGTTCTCTGCCCTAATGTGATGCTGTGTGAGCAAGTGGTTCGCATGGCCAACTCCCTTTCCGATGATTGCGGCCAGCCTCTTCTCAAAGCTGCCGCCATTTGTGGCCGTCAGGTTTGAATCTGACTTATTTATCCCTGTTCATTGATGCCAAAATTGTTATCCGTGAAGTTTGGCCTGATTATAACCGAAAGAACCTCAAAGATATTTATTTTTCCAATTAACCATATTTCTGTGCCCATAAGAGTTTTTTTCACATGAAGCTCCTGATATAGGACCATGTTGACTGCAGGGATTGCCGGTTAAAAAACTGGATATAATAGTATCGACTCCGGTTGCACTTCTCAACTACTTCTACGCAATCGGCCCGGAAAAACGTGGGCGTGATGATTTTATTCGTAGGGTCAAATATGTGGTATCTTTTCTTCTTTGAAAATTACTCGAGTGACTTTTGCACTACTATTGTTTGCTGTCTTAATTTGCTATCATGTTTTTTTAGGTTTTCGATGAAGCAGACTTGTTGCTATGTGGAAGCTTCCAGAACCAAATAATCCGCCTTATAAACATGCTTCGTTTTGACGAGAAGCAGTTGTCAAGAGCTAAAAATGCAGACAATGGGCCACAGAATGCTTTTTATTCGGATTCGGAAGAGGATTTGCAGGAAGACATGAATATGAGTGAGGATGATGGTGAAGATGGCGAGGAGGGGATGGTTGGGAGCTCTCAGAATGGTGGTGAGGTTAGAAGCAGAAAAGATTGGAGGAGGATGAGAAAAGTATATGAAAGAAGTAAGCAATACATTTTTGTTGCAGCCACTCTTCCTGTGAATGGGAAGAGAACTGCAGGTGGGATTTTGAAGCGGATGTTTCCGGAAGCTAACTGGGTTAGCGGGAGTTATCTCCATCGCCAAAATCCAAGGTTCCACATTCTTCTATTTATTGTTTGCAGTTTTAGTCCATTTTCATTTGTTTCAATAATTCTTAGCAAGTGTGTGCTCAATCAATGAAAATGGTGGTTGTTGATCTAATGGAAAATGAAACAATAATATAGCGTTTTCAAATTCAACTAGTTGCTTCTGATTTTTCTTTTGGTGACGTCTCCCAAGTCCCAAATAAATTAGCACTTTTACGGTTTATCTTTATCAAACATCATCTTTCAACATTTCAACTCTTTAGCTGTTATTTGTGAAGCAAGCCAATTATGATTTGATTATTTTAATTGTTCAGTGAAATTAATTTTTTCTCCTGGTACATGTTACTGAAAACACTAATTTCATTAAATCTGTAATAATGATAAGGCTCATAACTTTAGATATTGATTGTTCTCATGACTAACTATAATGTGTCTGACTATTCTCTGAATTGAATTCTTACAAACTGCTTCTGGTCTGCCTTCCGCAACTTCTTAGATCACATCTCATTTCTGAGAGCTATGATTATTATTCCCGCAATTTTGCGTAAACTATTTGTCAATGACATTATTAAAAACCAATCCTCTGCTTGTTTAATTCAAGTTTCGTGGATACCTGGACAAAAAAGACTTGAATACAATTCAATCATAAAAAATGTGAAGCAGAAACCAGTTTCAATGAAAAATAAAAAAATAAACTTGTCCATCTATTTTAGATATTTTACTTTCTGCTGGATACTTTATTTTAATTTTTCTTTTGGTCCTTGCACTGCACTCGCTCAGACTGGAGCAGAAGTGGGTCGAGGTCACGACTTTTACACAGGCGGAAGCACTCATAAATGCTGTAAAGAATGGACTTGAAACCAGTAAAAAAAATTCCGACTCTGAAATAGTGCGGACAATGGTGTTTGCAAACACCGTTGAAGCTGTCAATGCCGTCTCTCATATTTTGATGGCGGCTGGTATGGTGTGCGTGCGTTACCACAGTAACATCTCCCTGGACGAGCGCACAGAGAATCTAATCAATTTCCAGAGGAAAGGAGGCATTTTTGTGTGTACTGATGCCGCTGCTCGTGGGCTCGACATACCAAACATTTCACATGTTATACAGGTACATCCTTTTTTTTTTTTTTAACTGATAAAGGTCAATTTTATGTAAAATGCACTCGGTATCTATGTTTCCTTTTTCCGGGAAGAACAAAAATGGTAAATATTTTTGTAAATTTTTGTTATATTAGGCAGAATTTGCGAGTTCTGCGGTAGATTTTCTGCACAGGGTGGGCCGGACAGCGAGGGCAGGTCAGCATGGCCTCGTCACGAGTCTCTATACCGAGTCGAATAGGCAACTTGTGGCCGCTGTTCGTCAGGCAGAAGAACATGGTTTGCCTGTGGTAATATTTTATGTCTGATCTAGTTTATGTCATTGAATTCTGTTAAAATGTGTGTCGCGAAGTTTGTCCAATCAATATTTGTGTAATTGCTTCATAAGATTCTTCATAAAATTTTTGCACATCTCACTTTTTTCGGTTACTGGAAAAACATCACTACTTATTGTTTCCTTAGCCTCTAGTCAGTACCTTTATCATTCATTTCATGTCAAGTCACTCTAAATTTTATATCATTTTCGAATTTTTGATTTCACACTAATCTGTTCAAACATAGAGTTTGCGACGAATATTATACTATCTTATTGTACCCTCATCTTTTCGAGTAGACACTCTGCTCGTGTGGCTATTAAACTAGATTCATATAAGTTAATGCATCTTCTTTACTTATTGTTGTTATATGTGAGACATAAATAAGTTCCAATCGTAGTCGTATGCTTTCTGATGTACAGTCTCTTACCACCGTTGCATGATCCAAATTTCTTATAGAGAACGACATGCCGCATGTGCCTCATAACCTAACAACCTAACCAATATTCATTTGATTGCAGGAAAATGCATTTAGTAGGAAGAGGGGTTTTCGCAACAAACTTAAAAAGAGAGGTAAATTTTTCTTTTTTCTTTTTGAAGCAGCACTTATGAGACAAAAGAGAGTGGGAAAATAACACAAATCTTACAAGTGGTTAATTACTGTTTTGAACGCATTTTGGTGGACCATTATAATTATGAATAATCACAAAAAGATTTAGTTTAACCCCCAAAAGACCCACTTATCTTTTATGAATGTAACATGTCCCTAAGGTTATGAACTCGCACATACTTCCCTTGAGAGGATGATGCAGTTTGTAAGATTAAAAACAGATGCCATGGACAAGTTGTAGTTTTAAAAGGCAGTTGATCAGTGTTTGATAATTAAGCTAATTTCAGTAGATTTCTAACTAACATTCATAACGAGGAGATTGAGTTACAAAACTATATTAATGAAACAAAGAAACTGTAGTTATTATTCAAAACTCCAAAATACTCCTTTGTGTACTACAAGTACTCCTTCAGGTTTTTATTTGCTCGACATCTACCCTCCTATTGATGGTGCATTTCGGAAAATAAAAGCAAGCATGAAGGTTGTTATGTCGATGGTTTTTCGTTTTTGTTTCCTTTCTCCATGGTTTAATGTTTCCTCTTTATTTCTTATATTAGGTCATAGTCAACAACAAGACGGTGGATCATCAGTTGAACATCCAATTCCAGCATAGGTACCTTACTCGGTGACGAAATCAAACTCTAACTTGATCAAGAGTTTGTAATATCAGTAAGCCGAGCTTTTTACTTTTACCTGTTTGATTCCATCTTAGCATTCAGTTGAAATACCAGTTGTGGTCCAGTTTATACACAACCCATATCAGAAGACTATCGTTTCTTTGTAATGATACTTGTGGAGTGAATGTCAAGGTAGAAAAAACGACACTTGTCGTATTAATATAATAGTATCATGGTTGCATAGTTGCTTCCGATCCATACTATCATTATATCTCAGTTCAGTTTTAACACACATAAAACTACTAGAGCCGATTTTGATTTTTCTTCAAGTGGTCGACGAAATCATGGATGGCCCTATCCGAACTCCCGCCCTCATCACAAGCCCTCTTAGCCAAGTCACTCCACCTCCTAACATTCCCCCTAATCTCCTCACATCCCATCACCTGGTTTAGACAAGACAAAAGCTCGTCCCTCGTCACAACCCCATGCTTGTCCTCTCTAGCCCTCACCCCTATACCCCACACCTCTATAAACCTTGCGTCTGTCATCTGGTCGGCCCACTGGGGCATGCCCACCATAGGCACCCTGAGTGATAGCCCCTCGAGAGTTGAGTTCCACCCGCAGTGGCTCACAAAGCAGCCGATCGACGGGTGGGCCAGCGTCTCCAGCTGGTTGCACCACGACACGATCAGGCCTTTGTCTTTGGTGGAATTTGAGAATTCGGGCGGGAGCTTTTCCCGTTCGGTATCCCTCACGACCCAGAGGAAGTGAGAGGCTGAGTGGGCCAGGGCACATGCCAACTCGTGTGTTTGCTTGGTGGTGAGGGAAACCATGCTGCCGAACGAGACGTAGATGACTGACTTGAGTGGCTTAGTCTCGAGCCAGGATGAGCACTCTTTGTTCAGCGGCTTCCATAGGCTGGCGCCGTAACCCTTGTCCCCTTGGATTCTGCCGTCAAGGTATGATGATGGCACCATTGGGCCTATCAGTTTTGCTGGCCATATATTTCCCACGCTTTTTGCTTCCTTTTTTTTTTTTAAAAAAAAGAAACACTATTAAGCACCAAGTAATGAGTAATGCTATGAGCACATAATATTGTACATAGCGGTGCATAACACTCACATTGAGTAGGACCGACCAAAAAAAAAAAAATCAAGTGGACCCCACTCCGTGTGAGTGTTATGTACACCTCTATGTACATTTATTATGTACTTCTAGTATTTTCCTTCTTCACCGTACCATATCATGAATACACACACACAAACACAGAGACATTACCTGGCCTTCCAACTCCTCAAAACTGTTACAGAAGACGAAATCTGCCTCGTCCAGGTTGGAGAACTGGCTCAACTTCATCGCCAGGTAGGCCGGGTAGCTCTCCGGCTCCCTAATGAACCCCGGCAGGTCCTCCAGCCCCAGCGGCGGCAGCCCCGGCAGCATGATCTTCCGCCCCTCCCCAACATCCGGGGGCAGCTTGAGCGTGCCCCCGTGCACGTGTCCGAACACCGCGGAAACGGCCGCCGAGTTGGTGAAGAAGGCGGCCCCGTGCACGCCGTGGGCCCGGGCCACGTCCAGAGCCCACGGTAGGAACGCGTCGTACACTACGCAAGTCACCGGGTGGTCGGCCCCCTCGATGAGCTCCGACAAGGTCCTCGACCCGTGGGCCCGGAAGGAGTCGAGGTAGGCGCTGCAGTTGCGGGCCTCCGAGAAGCCGGCCCGATCGAAGCCGTCCGAGATGGGGCAGACTGCCACGCCTGGGGCGTAGATGGAGGCAGCGGTGTAGTGGGTGGCGGCAAGGGTGGTGCGGACGGCCTTGGAGGCGAGGCGCTTGGCGAACTGGAGGAGGGGGTTGATGTGGCCCTGGCTGGGGTACGGGATGAGGATGACGTGGCACGGGCTTTCTGCTGCTGTTTTCTCCATTTTCTTGATGATTGAATTGATTGTTGTGGGGGGTGAATGAGGCGAAGAGGGCTTACTTATAGGCATCGTTGAGGTGTGGCAATTTTGTACGTGCAAATAAAGTAGAAAATATTATTATAATAATAATAATAATTATTATGATTATCGGTTTTGCTGTGGAGCCAACAGTTGACTCTATAGTGGAGTCAACCTTCTATATACGACAAATAAATCTACCATATTCTTTGATTATTTAAAGAACATTAATATAATTCTATTAATATGGTAAGTTTATTTGTTGTATATAGAAGGTTGACTCCACTATGAAACCAACTGTTAGCTTAATAGCAAAACTGATATTATTATTATTATTATTATTATTATTATTATTATTATTGTTATTATTATTATTATTGTTGTTGTTGTTGTTGTTGTTGTTGTTGTTAATTAATGTGGAGTTAACATTAATTCAGTCAAATGCTTTTAAATTGAAAAATTCAAATTCTAATTCAGGTGAGACAAAAAATATTCGGAACATCATCAAATATTTCATGGAGAAATTAATCCGTGATGTCGTGATGATTAATGATACCTATTTTGCGTGCGTAAGCTGACGTTTACGGCTATCGTCACAGTCTTACGTAACGATAATTACATCATCATGAATGATGTCATCACTACACCTTTGTGGCCGCTACCACATTACTGTATGCCATGTTGCGGTCTCCCGGTCTACCCCACTTGTATGACATGAGTTGTCAAAGAAAGAATGTGACAAAGATATCAATCAATCGTATTTAAGTTGTTAGATGCAATTCAAATTTTCCAAAATAAGACATTTTATGTCACTATATAAAATTCGATACTTATCATTTCGAGTGTGATGTGGTCGTTAGTAGCAGCTCATGAAGGAACCGGTTGTGACCCGGATTCTAGTTACATTCAGCTGGGTAGTCCAATCTGGTAGGCGCAGTCTGTGGTACCTTTAGAGTACATGGGTGGTGGGCGAAGGTTTCTGGTAGGCACAGCCCATGGTACCTTTGGAGTACATGGGTGGTCGGCGGGGGCTAGTTCAACATGAACTAGGCAGCACCTGGGCACCTAGGTAGCTGGACGCCCCATTGAGGTGACCAGAGTCCAAAGGGGTATCATACTCAAGTCTTAAAGAGATTCGTAACCTCAAGGACTCTTTGAATTTTGACCTAATCTGAGGAGAAGACTCATGGTATGATAAGAACTCTACAGCCTCTACATGTCTTCATCTATAAAAGGGGCGCAGGTTATTTCATTTACACAACACACACATAAAAATTCTCTCGTTATTCTGCCGTTTTTCCTTCGGACCACCACTGACTTGAGCGTCGGAGTATTCGCGCCGGGACCACTCCCGACGTGTTTTGCAGGTACCGGCGATCAAAGAGACATAACCCGGTTCGAGGAGGAGCGGTCCAGCGGTTCAAGTGTTGGTGACATAACAGAGTGTTTAGAAGGCAATTCCTGAAGATATAATACTATAATATTATTTATTTGTTTAAAGAGATTAATCAAAACCTACTTCCACTGTTCTGAGACTTGGACTGGCTCGACGAGTCAACTCACGGTCGGGACTGGTCGGGTTGATTGTTTGGACCTGGTAGCAAAGGACTTGGTCAAAAGTCGGTGGACTCGGGTATTGACCCGATCATTAAATATATTTTATTTTTTTATGTACCTTTTATTTTTAAAAATAAAATTATGTATGTGTGTGTATATATATATATATATATGTGTGTGTGTGTGTGTGTGTGTGTGTGTGTGTGTGTGTGTGTGTGCCATTCCCCATTCTGTAATTAATGAAGACAGGATCCAGCTCACTACTTATCTACTTTGGTGGACATAGAAAGCTAGGAACTTGTGGGTGTTTCAAGGGCTTTGGAGATCAGAGAAGGCAGTTATCAGCATTGCCCTTGAGAAATGGTTGGAGTTTGGCAAGTGACTAGCAGCTGATGGTTTTGTGGTCTCGAGGTCTGTAGGTAGCTTATTTTGTTGCTGTCTTCCTTTGTAGTTAGGTAGTTTCTGTTTTGTTCTTGTTGTAGTTGACTAGATTAGGGCTTTGTCAGTGATCTATGTCATTTGTTTTGCTCAGATAGGAACATAACCCCAGGCTCTAAGCTTTGTATTAGTCGGGGATTATGAACTTATCTGATGTTCGTTGGTTTTGGATCTAGGACACTTGGTGTTTGATGCAGATATATTATTATTATTATTATTATTATTATTATTATTATTATTATTATTATTATTATTATTATTATTATTATTATTATTATTATTATTATTATTATTATTATCAATAGTTAGTAGCTTGGTGGACAAGTTTGCTTTTAGGGTTGTAGTGTCTTATTTAAAGACTTTTTGTCTTTGTTATCTGGGAGTTGATTTTGAATAAGAAAATGAATTAATTGTGAATTTTACGTGTTTTACGAGAGAGTATCTCGTTTACTCGTATTTTCCCTTTCGTTTACGCTTCCCTACATCAGTTGGTATCAGCAGTCAGTACGATTCGCGATGTCGCCGGGACGAGAAGATGCTGCAAACAACCAACGTGATGCCACCTTCCACGATCGGTTTCAACAGATTGACTACCGATTTCAAGAGTTGGACGTGCGTTTCACGAATTGGTTTGCCGATCTTTCGACGGGGATCGAGGATTCACATTTGACGCTTAACAACGTGGTTGTTTCGGAATTGCAAACGAATCGCGATGGAACTGTGGGCCGTGGCTTTCGCGGGGGAGACAGAGGCGGTTATGGGGGAAGCAACCATGTCGGGGCGCCCCGGCAGTGGTCCCCACCACCTCTGAACGGCTTCGTGGACGGCTACGATCAACGCGACGACAAAGGCAGGCGCGAGGAGGCTGTCTTCGCCGGCGGATATCAGGCCCGACGCGATTGGGTACATGATCACGAATATGGTCCATGGGAGGGCCCGTTTCGCGTGGACATTCCCGATTTGGATGGAGAACAACATGACGGACCATTGTACGACGGTCCGCCGATTTTCGATGAGGAGCCTCCGATGCCAGAGGATGAAGCTGTAATTGTTGCTATTAATACCGTTGAATTTGATGTGTTCTTGGTGGCTGCATTGTGCAGTATAGAGAATTACATGGGGCATGAGTTTGACACAATTTTGTCATATTTTAATTCGTGTTTCATACCCCATGAAGGTGGTGTTGAATTTTTTAGTTTTATGATGCCCGAGGGTGTTTGGGTTGGAAGTAAGGATCCTATGTTGTGTGGGTCGGCTAGGGTGGACGTTGGGAGACATTTAATTTTCGTGATCGATAGGGGGAAACGTCGGGCGATCATTGGCATGGGTACGACTCCAGTGTCGGCACGTTTGGTCCGGCTTCGAGGGCGAAGCCTTCCGAACTGGGGGAGGATGATGCAGATATATTATTATTATTATTATTATTATTATTATTATTATTATTATTATTATTATTATTATTATTATTATTATTATTATTATTATTATTATTATTATTATCAATAGTTAGTAGCTTGGTGGACAAGTTTGCTTTTAGGGTTGTAGTGTCTTATTTAAAGACTTTTTGTCTTTGTTATCTGGGAGTTGATTTTGAATAAGAAAATGAATTAATTGTGAATTTTACGTGTTTTACGAGAGAGTATCTCGTTTACTCGTTTATCCTTCCCATTCGTACGTTTCCCTACATCAGTGTTCCTCTGTTATTGGACTAATTAGTCCCCCCTCATGTACAAATTGTTTTGAGATATAAAACCTATCGTTTTGGAATATATATATATATATATATATGTGCGTGTGTGTGTAATAAATATTTATTATAAATTACAATACTATTAAGACTTTAGGGTACAAAATTTACATATAAGTTGATGTGCCGGAGACCTAGACCTAGGTTGAACCGGTAATATAAAGATTCGATCGTCCATGAGTCGCCAACTACCTGCAAAACAAGTGCCGGAGAAGTTCTCGGCGTGAGCACTCAGATGCTTAAATCAGTACAGGGGAAGAAGAAGGTGATAATAATATGCTTTGTATGTAGAGAATTATAGAGTGTTTAGAGAGTTTACATTGCACCTCACTCTCTTTTTATAGGGGAATACCTTGGTGCTCAAGATTTAGCTGTCTCGGCTACCCAGCTGCCTCGATCAACCTGTACGTAACCGCCCAGCTGGGTGTGATCCTTACCTTGATCTTGTCCTTATCATCATTAGATTCTTTATTATTCTGATTATGTGTCCTATTATCTTGATTATGTCTCCATGCTCTCTGGTTCCCAAGTTCTCACAGGTCCCTCGATAACAAGTGTCAATAGATCGAAGTCCCTCAAGTCGTCTTATCTTAATGATTATTGACGAATCAAGTTTTTAGGTTTGTTGTATCATGTTTCTTGTCTCGTCATGTAGGTCATCAGTTGGGTGTTGGTGAGTCTCAGTAGTTTAGGTTGCTTCATTGAGTTATATCAGGTTTTCTGGGCTTAGGTCGTGCATCCTCAATAAGTCATCCATCTTGTCTCTAGTCAACTCGCTCTGGCTTCCCCCGTATACATATGTTTTCCATAAATCGACCTGGTCGATTCTTGGCTAGTCGACCTATTTATACTTGACATTACTCTGGTTAGCTAAGTTGTGGCTATATCATAAATAATTTATTTTTATTATATTATGTATATTTATAATGTATAAATAATATAAATGTAATTCAAAATTTTACAAAATTATTTTTCCAGTTCAGCAATTGGCCCGGTGACCCAATGGTTGGACCAGTTACTGGAGTCCAGCTCGGATCAAATCACCGGTTCAGATTTAAAACTATGCTACTTTTAATAACTTTAACTTTTCTTTCTTATTTATTACAAAAAAAAAAAATGGATATGATATAACACTCATATTAACTCGGTGGACCAGTTAGAGTGGTTAGCTCGAACTAATCGGCAGGTCACTCGCAGCTCGATAACAAGGTTTAACTTCGTTAAGGAGCTCAATATGTCAGCT